GGTAATTCCCCGAGAGCTGGGTTTCCTCAAGTACCTGCACGAGCTAGACATCTCCCACAACCGTCTGACGGCGCTCCCGGAGGAGATGTGTACCCAGGCCTACTCCCTGGTCATCCTCAACGCCTCGGACAACGCCCTCACTGTCCTGCCGGTGAGACTGTCGTGTCTTTGGCCTGTCTTGTCTTTGGCTTGTAATATGTGTGGTATCGTGGTGAATTCGTGTGCTTGTCTTTACTTTACTTTACTTTTATCCGCACTTATACATGTACCTTTTTGGGTGTCGCAGGAAGAAAGAGACGTCTCTCTGCCATCAGCCGGAGAGCTTGGGTCAGGGGGGTGCATAAGTTGTTAGTGTTTCTCTGACTCTATCTATCTAGGTCTTTCTCGGTCGCCCTCTAGCCATGTTGCCATTGAATTGTTTTATGTGGGCACATTGTCATGGATGTTGTGCTCGTAATCGCATGAGATGTCTGAACCATTTGATTCTTAAGTGTTGGATGTGATGCATGACATCATTTGTGCCCACCATTTCTCTGACTACTGGGTTTCTAATTTGTCTCTCCTGGTCTTGTTTACTGCTTTTCTAAGACATCGCATTTCACATGTCAGTCCGTTTCTTTCTTCCATTAGTTTCTGTGGCAATAAATAATCCACTGCCGACTTGCTAGGCCTGTCACAGGTTCACCAGAGCCCCATTAGCCTGCAACTTTTCGGGGTGACCCGGGTTCTCCTTCACGGCTAACGTGACGACTCAGTGGCATAAAGCCACACCGTGCGTGCTTGTCAAAATACTGAAATCAAAGAAACCAACAGTTTGACTCCCATTGGGCAATTTTTATCGTTTTTGTTAAGGCTAAACACCTTTCATATTCGTTCAAAAACACATTTCTTGAAATGTTGATGAAAGGCACAGAAATTTTGGTTTAGTTTCCAAGGACACTCAAACTTTTGAAATTTGTAACTATGCAGTTGGTCAAAATCACAAAAATTGTAAATATGCAGTTGATCAAAATCACAAAAATTGTAAATATGCAGTTGATGAAAGGCACAGAAATTTTGGTTTAGTTTCCAAGGACACTCAAAAACTTTTGAAATTTGTAACTATGCAGTTGGTCAAAACCACAAAAATTGTAAATATGCAGTTGATCAAAATCACAAAAATTGTAAATATGCAGTTGATCAAAATCACAAAAATTGTAAATATGCAGTTGATCAAAATCACAAAAACTGTAACTGTGAAGTTTCCAAGGATACTCAAGCTTTGGAAGTCATCTAACTTTGGCGTCCATTTTCAAGCTATTTTTGCTTCTGACACTAAATGAGCCCTGCACCTCCTTCAGTCGCGAATACCTCAACATCTATTGAAGACAGGCGGGTACTTTTTCATCAAAAGAAAGAGAAAGGAACAAGCTGTAAGATTATGCTTGAGACAATAACCTCATATGTGTCCCCCCAAAAACCGCCATTATAATATTATGTGCGTGGTATTTCTGTTCCAGGTGGATATCGGCAAGATGAAAGTGATGGAGGATCTGAACGTGGGGAACAACCAGATTGAGATGCTGCCTGAAGAAATCACAGACCTGAAATATCTCAAGGTGAGAATTTTACTTATGTATGGTCGCTTTTAAGCACAAGGAGGCTATCCCGAAAAATGCTGTTTTGAGAAAATCGAAGGTAAAGTTTTTGCCCCTTGTTCAGTTTCTGTAAAAAAAAAAGAAAAAAGACTCAAGCTTTGGAAGTCACCAAACTTTAGAAGTCATTTTTGTCGCTAATTTTATCTCTGAAACCAGGCAACCCCTGCCTCCTTCAATCGTAAATATCTCACCTTCTAATTAAGAAAGATTGGTATTGTTTTCACCGAAAGCAAACTTTAAGATGATACCAATACTCCCCATGCCCAAAAATTGACGAGCGCCTGATTCCACCGCGTTTTATAGTCTATCTTATGATAGGCAAGGTAGTTGGTGTAACGGGATTTGACTGTATACATTATCTCTGTGTTTCTTCCCCATCCGTCTCTTCGTGGTCTCTGAGTACATGCATTTCCTCATTGTGCTTTCAGAAATTTGACATCTCGGGCAACAAGCTGACCACTGTGGACGTCCTGTCCAGTCTCAAGGCCATCGAGGAGCTGCGTGTTGCTAAAAATAGCATCACGGCTCTCCCGGAAGATTTGCACAGGCTGAAGCAACTCATCACGTTTGATTTCTCTGACAACTACATCAAAGCTATACCTAGCACACTCAACAGGTGAGACACACAAACACACACACACACACACACACACACACACACACACTCACACACACACATATACACAACTACATCAAAGCTATACCTAGCACGCTCAACAGATGAGGCCTGCCCACACATACATACACACCAAGGACTCCTTGATACACACACATACATATACACAACTTCATCAAAGCGATTCCTTCCACATTCAACTGGTGAGACATACGCTCATACATACTCACACATACAAACACACACATATACGCACATACGTATACACAACTACATCAAAGCTATACCTACCACGCTCAACAGGTGGGACCTACACACACATATACATACACATATATACACACATACACATACACACACATATACAAATACACACACATTCATACCTACATACATACACACACATATATACATAACTACATCAAAACTATACCTACCACGCTCAACAGGAGAGGCCTACACAAATACACACACATATACACATATACACACATGTACATACACACACATATACACATACACACACTATCATACATACATACATACACACACATATACATAACTACATCAAAACTATACCTACCACGCTCAACAGATGAGGCCTACACAAATACACACACATATACACATATACACACATGTACATACACACATACACACACATACACACATGTACATACACACATTCAAAAATACTCACATATACACAACTACGTCAAAGGGATATCTAGCACGCTCAACAGGTGAGATTTACATACACAACCACATACACATACTCACACATGTACACACATATACACACACACATATACACACATACACTCGTACACACACACACACACACACACACATACACATACATACACACAACTGCACCAAAGCAATACCTACACACACAAACATACCATACACCCAGACACATACACACATGTTCATACACACATACACACATGTACATACACACATAAACACACGTACACACACATGTACTAACACACACACTCACATGTTGATACACACATACACACATACACACACATACAATTATGTACATGCACATTACACAAACGTTAATTTGTTTGTACATATTTCACAACAGTACGTTCTGTTAAGTCTCTACAATTTATCCAAAATAAATCAATTCATAAAAAGTTGAATGAAATCTCCAAAGTTGCCTTCTTGTTCTTCTTCACCTTCAGAATTATCTCGCTGAAGGACATTGTGGCTGCCAACAACAAGATCGACGCCATCCAGGACTCCCTGGGGAAACACCAGCTGCTTCGAACCCTGGACCTCACAGGCAACAGGTAAACGACGCGGGCGGCTGACAGACGACGTACATACAGATTCTTGACTGACGGATTTCCGCTAGACTTTTTAAACAACAATTCCCCATTGATATTGAGGGAGGGAGAGAGAGAGAGAGAGAGAGAGAGAGAGAGAG